TTTTTTTTTTTAGAAAAAAAGTCGCTAGGGGGTCTGAAAACTCGCTAAATATAGCGACAAAGTCGCTAAGTTGGCAACACTGGCTGCAGGTGACCAGCAATCGTTGTACTAGGCATGGGGCAGACTATCAGCTACGATACAAGGTGATGTGGCTTTTAGTTAATTAGCTGTAATTGTGGCTAAGACCAGCCTGGTCGTTGTGCTCCGTCCATCTGGTTGTAAACAAGACTACGCTACAAACAGCGAGGGGATCGATGAAGCCTCGCTCATCCGTAGTGTTGCTTTACCAAAGATTAACAAGAGCGTGCTCCCATATTCACAATGCTACAACCAGCTCTCACATGCAGTACTGATGGCTGGTTAGAAGTCTTACTCGGGTATTATAGATTCCCTGAATAATGGAAACTTCAAAGCAGCATTACACGAATGTTTTCCCCCAAACTCAGGTTAAAAATGTAAAATAAAAGCATTTAAGTGACTCTAAATTCTGCTCTGTGATTTGAGGATGCTTGAATCCTGGTATCTGTGTAACCTCTTATAATTGAATGGGAAGGCTTTTCTGACAAAGCAGCCATATCTGATGAGCTGTGGGTGAGAATGGGTTGGTGCTGACGCTTCAGTGGGTCCAACCTTCCTCTGATATTTGATAATTCCCCACAAACGTAGCAGGTCACACAGCAAACACAGAGCGCAGCTAAAGCTGATGGAAACGGGATTTTTGGGTAAATAATAATTTGAGATTAAACTCATGCTCTTTGCAGTCTCATGACAGCTGTTCTTACTGTTATTTTTTCATACAGTATTTTTCAGTTGCACAGATATTTTGTTCTGTACTGTGTCTACATTTCATCACGACTCTGTTTCCATTTCCTTTGGCGAACAGGTTAAAGTCGTGCTGAGGGTGAACCCATCGCTGTCAGAGAGCCAAGGCCAACCACCTGTTCTCCGCATCGACCCGTCCAAGAAGAGAGTAACCATAGTGGAGCCGGCCACCAAAAGCCATCAGCGGGCTACCATGACACTGGGCAGGGATGGCAAAAGTCATCTGAAGACCTTCACCTTTGACAGCGCATATCCTCAGGAGTCAAGCCAGGTGTGGCTCTGGTGCAAAGCTTAAATATGACTTTAGTTGTTTCTATGGTGATCAGGTTGGTAGACAGTGGATTGTGTAGCATTACATGTATACAGCACATGTTCCCTCCTCTTTATCCTACACCGTTAGTCCCTCTCTCTGTCTGATGACCTGAAAACTGATAGGCCCTGGATAGCACCACAATCACACAGCCCATCAATTAGCTTTATCCAAGCTCTGCTTACAGTATCTGAGCCCAAGGGACTCAGTCTGCATCCCCGTTCTGCTTTGGCTCGTGCGCTTCTTCACAAGCTGCTCGCTGTCCTTTGTTCTCTCGACCAGGCCGAGGTGTGTGCAGGCGTCTTGGCTGATGTCATCCGCTGTGTGCTCAGCGGCAGCGATGCCTGCGTCCTGGGCTTGGGTTGTGCTGATGTGGGTGAGTAATCGGTCCTTGTGAGAGGCCATGGGTTAAAATCTCAAGATGGGAATGGGATGCTTTTATCATCCCCGCCCCACCTCCTCCTCTATCCGACTGCAATCTTTCAGCCTTTCTTTATCACTTCAAACTGCCTCTGTCCTCTCGATACAAATCTCCAGCCTCCTCGTGTCTTTTGTCTCGTCTCCCCGTCACTTTTCTCTTTTTTGCTCTTTAAAAAAACAAACAAAAATTTCCCTTT